AACTGATAAAAAAATGATGTCTTAACATTATGAGCAGCTCTTGGTTATTGCAACAGTTCTATTGGTTCATCAAGAGCAAATCGCAAAAATTTGTCATACCCAAAACCATCGATTGACTTAATACCATGTTACTTCTGGTTATTCCCTAATCTAAATAAACCATTTTGGGACACCATTTCGACATGATCAAGGAGATAAAAACCAAAGCGCTGATTTTCACGATTTCAGGAAATGTTTCTAGAATTGGAGAAAATTCATTGACAGGAAAATACATTAAAATTAATGAAATATATTTGGAAGCATAAATAAAGACTTTAAAAATTATAAAAAATTTCATCTCATTTGTTGATGTGAATGTAATTGATCATGTGAATATAAAATTAAATTCAAATAAATATAATTATGCTATATATATTTTCTGAAAGACGCAGATGTTAACTGGCAACAATTTTAATATTAAATATTTTTTTACTAATTAATTGTTAATCAATTAAATACCAAATATGGAAAAGTGAATAATATTATTAAAATAGAAATTTTGAGTGCTCATATGAATTTGGTTATTTATACTCTAATTAATTATTTTCTTTAAAATAAACATAAGATTTAAGTGAAACAAAGAAGATACTAATTCATGATTCAAAATATACTTTTTCTAGTGTTGATGAAATATGTAGCGAGCAATGGAGTAATCGGATTTTGAAATAAGTTGAGTAGAAACAATTCACTTTAATGTGAGCTAACTTAGTAAGAACAATTAAAAATTAATAGTAATTATATGCTCTTCAACAATTTTAGAATATAAAATAATATATTATATATTATATATATAATATATAGTTATCTAATCATATATTAATATTTTCGACCCTACTAGTGAGTTTTCTTCTCTCAATGTATATAGCTGCTTTTTCTTGTTTATTACTTATAATTTTAAAAATGTGATTTATTACCGAAATGTGATTTACGTATACAGTTAACTTAATTATAACTTATAATATATAATATATAGATATACATGCATTCAATAGTCAATACATCTAAATTCAATAATAAATAAATAGTATAATAAAATCAACTTTTTTAAGAAAATTGTTTTATTTTGTGTATTGAATAGGCTATTTTCATTGCTCACATATAAATTATACAATATTATGGATACTTATATTATTAGAATTGATCAATTTTTCCATGCTATCGTTATTATTTTTGAATATACTCGTATACATGGTAGAGCAAAAGTTTTTAAAAGTGGTGAACTGAGCATATAAGGGACTGTGGTTCTGAGCTTCCCCTTTTATTTCGTATACAACCATAGGTATTTGTAAATGTATGCAATGTTTTTTGTATGATTTGACAGTCAAACCATTTACAAGTTTATCCCCCAATAAGAAATTCATGCAAGGTGTTTATATATTAAGTAGTTCAAGTGAGTTAAGTAGTTCAAAAAGTGCTGCATATTAAAAAGTGGTAAACCTTTTAAAAAAGTAGATGTTGCTTTAGATAATATCGTATAAAATTTGAAATTGAAACTATATCTCCATAAATGAACCCTGAAATGGATATAATTTGCATGAAAAAGTAACTGTGAAGAAAAAGTGCCTAAAGTTTTCAACATATATTTTATCTGTAAAGTATTTCATAATATTAATAAATATATTGCCTGCAACAATAAAATTTTCAATATTTTTTAATACACTTAAGCTTTTTCAACCTCATAAATAAACCATTTGCTTACGATGAGGTATTAATTTTGCTGAAAATGTTGTATTGTAACTAATTCGAAGCAGTCATGATGATCAATTTCATATTTATTTTGTAGATAAATAAAATACTCACAATAATATTTGCCCATTGTCACGTAAATATGCTTATCTCTTAATTAAATTCTAGCAACAATTTTTTCAGTGTATTCATATGTTCACTCCAACTTGTTTGGTTTTTGTTTTTGGTGCAAAACTAAAAGAGAATCGATTTCAAAAGCTTAGAGCTTTTATGCGCTCATCTCATATGCCAGATTTTGGTGAGCTTTTGATAATTTATATTCGTGATATCAAACACAACTAGAATAAATTATTTGTTTGGAACGAATTCCACTCTAATTAGTTGAGCGCGAGAGCTAGAGTGGAACGTTTTGACAAATTTTTGTGTGCGATTGCGACAAAACACGGAAATACGGAATTATTTCTTAATTATAATTTAATTAAGCTTTGAAAATGGAGGAAAAAATGAAATTAGAAAAACAATGGATTAGTGATGTCCTCCTACCGGAAATTTTGAATAGTGGAAAACTAATAGTTGACGACTTTGTCGATACTTTTAAGGTTCGCGATATCAAAATAAATTTCATTGGCGGCGAAGAGGCGTTCATGTTGACGATCTGCTACCGCGCAACTGTTGAGTTCGAATTCACTGGCAAAACTTGCAGACGTTCGTTGGTTGTAAAGGTAATGTTTATGTCGGTGGGGTGAAGTGCGTGTGTTTCTGAATGGAACACCATGAAATCTGCGATATATTGTGAAATAAATAAAAACTTTGATAATTAAGTTTAATTCAAATTAATAACTAAAATTATCGAACTAACAATAATAATCGCTTAAAATTCTCGTTAATAATTTGTTTTTGTGAAATTAAAGTGTTTAATCATTGTTACAAATTATACAGTAAAACACGTTAATACTTAAAATAATAGATAAGCCCAAATTTTACTATTTTCTGGACATAGAAAATACGCTTTTATTACTCAAATTCGTCTTGATAAATATTCAAGATTACATCAGCAATCTGATTAAATAATTGAAAGATAAGTTAGCTTGAATGAAACAACTTTCAAGAGCCTGAAAAATGAGATATCGGATTTATTGAAAAAATATATTACGTTAAAGTAGAATATGCTGAGTAACATATTAAATAATCATCAGATGATTTGCACTTTACTATCGAGCCCAATATTTCTTTGTTGAATTTCTGGACATAAGATTATTATACGATGTGAGATCTGCGAAGGACCGATAGAATCTTATGGTGTAAATTGAATAATGTCAAGCTAGGTTGAAAAAAAGCCTACCCAGCTAAATCCCACTTGAGTACAAGTAATGCTTCGTTTTGAAATCACAGATCAAAACATTGCTCATATGCCGGATCAAGAACACCATCAAAACATATGATCAAAATAGATTAAATATATATAGGGCTCCAGAAAATTTGCAATTCATGTATTTACTGGCTAGTTCCATCAGTGGCAAAATTCGGAATGCAAAATTTGCAGGATTTGAAATGTTGAATATACTAAAGAAATTAGAAGAGAACAAAAGGTTTTTTGAATATAAACAAATATACAATTCCTCTTTTCATTGGAGAGTTTAATTAGTGGCAAATAACTTACCAAACTTGACTGGCAGAGAACGAATGTTTTTCTGGGTTCCAAAATATATACGTTTCGTATGCTTACTGAAGTACTTGGCCAGTGATTTGTACTCTTAAGTAACGATTATAAGAGTTGCAATGGTTAACAGAACTCGTATCCATAAATCAGTTTTTATGTTTGTGTACAGGACTAAAGACTTCAGTATTTAGGTGACCACTTCTTCAACCTAGTAGAGGTACATAGGATAATAGATTCACCGGATGGCTTTAGCTACATTTGCAAGACTAAATAGTTTATCAAGAGTATCTCAGAAAAATATGATGGCAAAAGCATTTAGTTTTAAAACTCTTCTTCTGGCAACTTTGAAAGCATCATATTCGGAGATAGATGTCCCAGAGTGAAAGTCTTTCTAATTGTTTTATCACATACCGCAACCTAATTTAACCTTATGTAAAATACCATGTAAAATTTGTTTTACTGTGAAATCTTAAAAGAAGTTGCATTTTGAAAAAAAATAATAGTTAAATGATTAAACGATACTCACGGATCTCAATGATTAATATAAAATGTTGTCTTCAATAAATTTGCTATAATCTTCTCAAAATTATTTGTAGATCTATACTAATTAGCCAGGAGAATTAGCAAATATACCATCCTTAACTAACCTATTCCACTGTTTAGTCTTTTGTTGCTTCCATATATTTAGTTTTCAGGTTATCTCAGGTTACTACAGTCACTACAGTTACAATGAGTTTTCACATATATTTGGTCAGGTTGGTGCAGCCTTCTGCTCCAATATAAGCCCAAATAATGCCCGGAGAGCCATTGTAATCTCATCTTATAATAATAAAATTATTATAATCTTACGAAGAGCTCTGCCTTACCAAGGACTGTATTTCAACTTGTGACAAAGAGTGTATATATATATGTATAAATTATAGGGGTATTATAAGTTTTAAAATCTTAATTTTGGTTTAAGTATTTATAATTTTTTGTAAATTTTTAATATAAACAAATAACTTGCTACTTCCAATCGCAACTCATTTTTACTGAATACTTTAAAATACTTTCGTTTAATGGCTAACGAGTAAGTCCAGAAAGTAACACGTTTTTGCTAATGTTTAAAAATCACAAAAAAAATACATATATAATAGAATCAAAATAAATCAATTTTCTATAGATATTTATATAAATTCTTCTGCATACTAGAAAATAAAGTGAATTTTAATTTTTGAAAATAATTAAATATTAATAAAAATAAATCTTCTTTTTACAGAAAACACCTCCATTGCCCATCGAGATTTACAACTCAATTAATTTTAGCGGACTCTTCGGAAATGAGGTCACGGCTTACTCGACGATAATGCCAGTATTACAGAAGATCTCTGCGAAAGTGGAGGGTCTGCCTAAAATAGATGTACCCAGGTATTTCTACAGTGACTTACAACGAAATTCAGCGACACTCGTATTAGAAGATTTTGGTGTCCATGGTTGGAGAGTTTCTAAAGATAAAGTGAATTTGTCATTGGAACACATAGAAGCATCAGGTATGTTAAAGATTTTGCAAAAACTATAAACATTTCTGATACTTATGTAGATATTACTTAAATTTATATTTTAGGGCACTGAAATTTATTTAAATATAATAATTTTGCCATTTTTCTATTTAGTTAAATACCTTGCCCTATTTCATGGCACTTGTTATGCATTTAAGGATACGGATCGTTCCGCGTATGATAATTTGGTCATAAACTTAAGGGAAACACGTTATGCCAATTCAGAGATTCATCCAGAATGGGATTTAACTATAAAAACAAGTATAAATCGATTAGTGAAAGCAACACAAAAATATCAAAATGAAGTTGACATCAAGTTTCTTGAAAATTTGACAAACCTGGTAAATGAGTACTTTCGATACGGTAAGCATATGGTACAGCCTGTAGAACCGTTGGCAATTCTCTGTCATGGTGATTATTTGAGAAATAATATTGCCTATAAGTATGGAAAAGAAAAGGACGGAGAAGGCAATGAAGTACCCGAAGCAGCAATGATGTTTGATTTACAAACTCTACGTGTGTCTTCACCAATGGTCGATCTTTCTGTCCTTCTGGCTGTTTCAGCTTATGCAGAAGTACGTCAAAAGAACTTCACGCGTATTTTAAATACGTATTGGACTACTTTAGTTTCAACTTATGAGACATATACAAAGACCACTGCTCCAGAATATTTAAGGTAAAACCATTGATTGCAAATATTATGAAATATTTTGTGAGAAATAAAATTTGAATTTACAGTTTCGATTCTTTGTTACGTGAATTGATACGATTTTTGCCCTATGGGCTTATGATCTCAGCCTCATTCCTGATGACCTTAGTTGATCCTCCACCAAACGTGTCATCAGATGACTTTCTCATACAAGAACGTACAACAGAGGAAATTGTTGATGACGCTATGACACGTGGTGGAGAAGTGGTGGATCGTGAGCTATCGCATCAAGTTAAAGAAATGTATGACTTGAGCAGACAATATAATGTGGATCTATTCGAAGGCTTTGAGTTGTAAGACAAAGTATTCTAAAATGGTATTAAAATGTTGTAAATATTGTAGAGTAAAACAAACTTTTATCGCACTTTTGATATTAAATATTATTGATAATAATATTATAATAAATTAATTAAATTAGAATTCCTCTAATTTCTATTTCGAGTAGATTATCACTAAATTGATTTGCCTCTAAGAAACTTACCTATATGCTAGGGTTTAAAGTTCACAGCATGGGACGTCAACAACATTTCTTCCTCATAGGACATAATTCTATTTGAAGAATATATCTATATCAATGTTATTTTATTTGCCACAACATCGTTTCATCCAACTAATTAATTTTTCCACTTCGATGAAGTGGTTTAGTTCTTTATTACATGGTGTCAGAAGAGCACATTCTGTTAACGTTCTAATTCGATTGGCACAATTGTCGTCATTCTTCTTCAGTGTGTTGCGAATTCGCTACCATTTTTTTCTCCGGACTTTAGTAGTATCATTAATCTGATTTATTTATTACATTCAGTGAAAGATTATTATTGTGAAACCAAGATATCCACATAATCTAGCCACGACATTTATTGATAAAAGTTTGAAGGCCGAAAGATGATTGATTCTACATTCGAGATCCAGCTCATTGTTTTCATCTGCAATGATCATACATCCAAGTTATCAGAATTTTGGAATGTTCTCAAATTTTTTTTGCTTCTATATTAATTGATTTCAGAGTCCTCCTATTTAGATGTAGGGACTTAGTTCGATTTTTAAACCGCTTATTTGCTATACTTATGCAAGACTTGTCGTCAACTTTCCATCGAACAATCTATATAAATGAATGTCATCCTCCTACAATCGAGGGCATCGGAGTTTAAATGGTTTGTGTTCAAAATTATAGTTTAAATGGTTTAATAAGTAACAACAATAACTGCTGGATATTTCGCATAGAATGTGGTTTTATATAATTATTAAGCTTTATTATTTCAGTAAAACAATACCGCGGACATTGTAAATATGAAAAGTTATAAATATTAATCTAAAACTCTAGTATTCTCCAGCTGTTGATGATAAGAGGTTTTCAGCTTAAGTTTGCTTTGATAAACGTTCCAGATTACAGAAAAGTCTCATCAGTTCTGTGATTAAGTAGGTTTTTATGTTGATTATTAGATAAGTAAATTAATAAAATTTAATAAGTGTAAAATATTTTTAAAAATAAAAAGAAAGTTGAAACCAGCTGCATGGGAAAAATAACTTTGATGATAAGATAACTTGGTAAGATGAACTAAGAAATTATATAATTAAAGTAAAAAATCTATAAAAGGAAACTTATTTTAGTAATTATAATAAAGGTGAAATCTAGATCTTATATATATATATATGTATATATGGTCAATCAATTCATCTAGTTGAATTGTAATATTTCTACTAAATCTTGATTATATGTATTGTGTTCAAAGTATCTCATTCATGTGAAAATGTTTTGTCTATTAGTCTATACTATACATCTATAAGCCTATAAGCCTATACTCTGGTACTTCCATAGTCATTAAAGCGTTTATAAAATAAATAAAAACTGATTTTAATTTGTAGTTCACACACGCCACACTTTGAAATGCACTGTAAAGTTAAAATTAAAATATTCTAGTATTTTTCAAAATGCTAAATACATACGAATTATTAGCAAAGCTTTGGATACTAAACGTATTCGTATTTTTTGCCTTGCAGTCCTAATATCCTCCAGAAACTTATATCATTTTTGTTAAGAACCCAATATTAAAATTTTTTGCAGAGAAATATGTTAAGCCATTGCAGATACTGGCGCCATCTGTAAGGATATGCAATATTATTATTATTTAACAAGCAATCAACCGTTAATATCATTCATATCTTGTTATATCCTTTTCTTTATTTGCTTTTACTTGTGAATTGTAAAAGCATATATTTATAAAAAGTGCATATATTTAATAAAATAAAAAATTCACAGATTTAATAACTCTGTGCAAATGTGATAGGGATGATTTTTATTATTAAAACAGTTCAGAAGTGATTGGTACTGCCTTATCTGCAGGAACAACGTCTTTACACATGCATAACTCATCTTAATATTTATGCTCCGAATATCAATTAAAAACGAAGTCAATAATTGGTTTTATTATAAATTTTAAATCTCAACCTTAGAGAAATTTAACACTTCTATAACAAGACCATAACTTCTATTATTTGTCACATTGGCCATCCAAACCGTAATCGTATGCGCAGATACTAATTTTACATTAAATGTCAATTGAATTTATGTTAGAAAATAGATGATATCCTATCTACTTCAAATTAATCATTTGAGACTAAAAAATATTTTTCATTGTTACTCAAACGAAATAGCGAAAGAATTTATTTAGTATTTTATTCACTTCTCATTTTTGTGCACTGCATTACCGAAAACGATTGCTATACAATAAGGTTTTTGACTGACTTAACTTTTTGAGTGCTGCATTACCATATAATATCCATTTAATACTAATTTACAGGTTTTTAATTGTATTAAACACAAGTCCTGAATAATAGTTATAATTCCTGTGTGTTTATTCCGTAATTATTTTATAAAAAATAAAATTATTTATTATAACAAATCGAAAAGGAAAGTAAAACAATAATTATATATTAAAATTTCTTTATTTATACCAATTTATATAGTTTTGTTTGCCAGTTACGATATATTTTCTTAAGTTAGAAAAAATATGTTTGCAGAAAATGTAAGCAGCATTTATTTTATTCTTAAAACTGTTACCTTTCTGTTATTTGCAGAATTTGAACACAGTAATTACTATTACAGTTACAGCAAAAACATAGCAAAGCCTGAAGGAGATAAAAGCTTCTTTTTATAACATTTATTAGTCAAGCACTAATCCTTTAAACTTTCCTTATTTTAGAAAGTAGAAGGAAAAGCTGCAATACGTCATCTGATGTGTCCATAAATTAAAATACATTAACGTTTGGATTTTTTGGAAAGTTATTTCATTTTTCCTAACAGAGGGCTTAATTGTATTTTCTCACAGCTAAATTCAGACTTAATTATTGCATACTTTAATGAGTGTTAAAACAAGGCTCGCTTGGAAAAAAAAAACTCGGCTTTCTCAGTAGTTTTTAATTGATGCTCTTTTAAATGTGAAAAGCAAGAAGCAGAATATTACAAGAATATACAAGACTGAAACATCCTTCTGAGGATGTCAACTATTTCTTTTATTAATACTAGTGCATTAGAAAACCATTATATAGTTAAGACTTAATATGTGTACAATATTAATCCATAAAGTTTATATTATTTATTATGAATTTCTAATTAAGCTCATTTGAAGGATGAAATGTGATGCAAATACAGATCAAAATAGTTTTGAAGCAGAAAAATAAATTTAATATTGTTATTATTAAATTAATGGTACAACATATTTTGTCAATTGCACTGAAACCATTCAATAAACTAAAATTACTTGATCCTAGCGCACCTTGAACGCTTAATCCTATGCCATACTTACACACAGTCTCTTTTTCATGTTCATGTAGTACGAAAAGTAGTCCCGCATGGGATTATAGGAATGTGAACGACACTGCATCGCTCAACAAAGAAAGTAAACAATAGACAACAGAAAAAGGTTGTGCATGCAGGTTGGAGTACACGGTGTACATGTGAAGAATGAAAATTTTTGGATTGGTAAACTGTTGGCTTGAAATGGTGACCTCATTTTGACTGCGTTCGCATGTAGGTGCTCTAAAATCCATATGAGCACCTATGCGCTTGAAATCAAATGCGTAAGCAAACGTATTTATGTTGCACATGAGTACGCCAAGCTCTGCAGTTTTATGCGACATGCATTTTTATGTCTGCTAATATATATCAGATTTCATGGATGTTAGAAATGTGTTCATTTGTCACTCAACGGGATCCTATGTTTACAGCTGTCCTTCGGCAGTGTTGGTGAAAATGCGATGATAATAAGCCAATTAAATAGTATGCCACCAAAAAGTATCAATTAAGTCATTGCGAATGTAATATGGGTAGCGTTGATATTCAACGTAGTTTTTAATTATACGAACGTTATAACCCCGTCAAAAACATAAAGGATCTCAAAGAACTTCAGTATTTTTGCTTTTTATTTTCAATTATTGATTTTTCGATTAGAAATTTCTCATTGAACCCATATGTAAGAGGTCAAAATATAGTAACATACCATCAAAATGTATTATGGCATTTCCACATAGAACTTCGTTTGGTTTTGCAGCGATTGTGGAATTAATGAGAAACTGTTTGCAACCATAAATTACACAAATTGGTTTTGTATGATTTGCGAAAGAAAGTTACGGTTTAGATAAATGCTAGTTTTAATCAATGTTAACTTCATTTTATCAAGTAGAGCGAAGATGACTAGTAAGTTTAGTTTTTTGATTGAAAAGGTTTTTAATCTCATTTGATAGGACATTGCATTTATGCGTGAAAAACAAATAGTTTGGGTGTAATTATAATAAAAAATGTTTTTCTTTTATTAATAACATAGTAATTCAGAACTTAATCAATTTAAATATCGCATTCATTTATTTATTTTATGCATTGTAAATAAACGAGACAATATTCGTTCTTAAATAAACAAATCGAATTTGCTGTATATCAGACTGCGTCCAACGGTGCGTATGAGTAATGAAAATATTTATTTTAAAATGTAATAAAATCATAAAATTAATTGTTATCCATCCGCGTAATTGCTGGAATGAAATTTCCACAATATGATGGAAAACTTCTACATTCATTCTTAGGAGAAATGTAGTGGAAAGCATCTCACACTATGGCATATAGTGGAAAGCATTTTTCACTAATTTATATAAAAAATAGATGCTAATTATATAAATAAATAAAACTTTCTAAAAAGGTTTAAAGAGATGTTTACTTATTTTACCTTTAAACTATAATTAATTGCTAGTTATCTGTGGCCTGTCAATCCATTTTGCTTTGCTGTTGTTGCTGCTCACCTGGCATTTTAATCCATTAGATGAGATAAAGTATCTAACTGTTTGCACTTGTATTTTTGCTGTT